TGAAACATGAAGAATGATGATGGTCACTTTGGTGGGTTGGTCACTTTCTGATATGGTATCTTAGCAGTGGTTTCTTGCCTTGTTTTTTGGGCTTGTTGGGTAGAAAAACAAATGAAAGTGAGTGGCAATAACCTTTTAAAATTTGACAGGTACAAACCAGAAACACTGGCATATCAGTGGGGAGGAAGGGTGGGAAGTGGGTGACAGGAAGTAAGTATCTATCAGAAATACATTTTCAGTGTAAGAAAATGTTAGCTTCCAAAACGGTCTTACCACTTCTCACCCAAAGCTATAATCCCACATTGCAAAGGTGGAGGTGACGGTGAAGGTGCATCAATATCCAATCAAGAGGAAAGTGACTGCACTGAAAGAATAGGTGTGCAAGAACATGAAAAGAAAGCACACCTGTGGAGTATAGCACTACTTCTTTAACAGGTATCCTCTTCACCCAATAACTGACACAGTAACCCAAAAAGGGAGGAACTGAATTGGTTGGCACCAATGCAATCAGGAGAGAGTTGTACAGCACCGAATCATTGGCAAAGTGCTGTATAACCATGACTTGAAACAGCACAGTATGGACAAACATGGAAAGTCTAGTGTGTAAGTGACAATGGGACTGTAGAAGTACGTGTCATGGGTAATGCCTTGGGTTACATCGGAATATGTCAAGTGCCGTCCATCTGGGCAAAACATCCAGTGGAAAACCCATGTATAAGATATTGTGATCAACTAGTACAACCTTCAGGGGCAAAAAAAATCCCCAAATATTACAGGTATAAAAGACCGATGCACTGTTAGCGAAACTTTTTTAGCAATGCTTAAATGGCAGACCAGCAGCGATATAGCTTTGGGTGAGTGGAGATAAGAACATTTTGGAAATTCAAGAGTTTGAAACTGAAATTCAAAATGAAGCGAGAAGAAAACTAGCAGACGTAGAAGACACTGCTCAAATTATGACCTCAAATTAGAGTACACGACAACTGGACTGAAACATGAAAATAAAAAAATTACACAAGAAAAGAAAGTTATCAGTAAGTGCTCAAATGAATTATAAAAAAGTTGATGAAACCATAACAAAAACAATACACATAGTTCTGTTGTACTCTACTCATACAGTAATAACAAATCAACTGTATATGCACAGAGTCAAAACTCAAAAATGTTATTACAATAATTTGAGACAGAATAAATAAAAATTCAGATTCAACAACAACCAAAAAAAAAAAGACACCATATTTGTAAAAGTAAAAGGAAAAAGAAATTTGTTAGTAATCAATTAGATTTTTGTTACCACTTTATTATATATGATAACATTCTTCAAAATATATGTTTTGAATTTGAAAATTTGGAATTAACGATATGTGTAACATGATTGTGGAAAAGAAGAAACATAGATACTTAGGTTAATAATGCCAAAATAAACAGATTTCTGTCCATGTTGAGGTATACTCATAATCCGAACTGATATAAAACATATCCTATGACTTTATGCATGAAAATATTTTGAAAACTAACTTTGAGAGCTTGGTCAAAATTCATCACTTTCTTGTTCCCTCGGTTACACATCATTCCTGCATCCATTTTTGGGTCCATCATTTCTATTGCTGACATAGCCTCAAAAAGACCAAACCTTAATAGAAAAAAATATATATACATTTAATATGTATTCCATGATTTCACTACTACTATTCATAAAAAGCTTTAAAAAAAAACAGTATTCTTAGTGTTTGGACGATCCACGAACATTAAGAGACTATAATATACAGCATTTAGACATATGTACATAAATTATTTCATATAACAATTACAATTTACATTTCACTGTTAACTGACATAACAAATCTAGGTACTATACGAAGAAGGCTAGACTTGTATGTAAAAACTGAAAATAGAATATATTCAAAGTATAGAGAATATGCAATAAGTCTGTTCAACATTTCAAAAATCTAAAATTATTTAGTACCCAAAACTTCCTTTTGTACAAATAGTCTGCATTAAAAATTATAATGCTGCGTTATTTATCCCTACCCTAAAAATTCTGATATAGTATATGCAGTGTTGCTGACATACCATTGCACGCTCCTTTACTTTCAGTCATGGGTAATTAGAAGTGCTTAGAAATTGCATTACAGAAACTTACATCAAACATTTAAACAGCACTATACGTAACGCAAGACCGATACTATGATGGTGAAATATATTAAGCCTACAGCATAAAAAGACCATTAATGATCTTTAATGTTTAAATAATAATAATAATAGTGCTCTAACAACAGAAACATTAAAGATCCTGTTGTTAGAGCACTATTATTATTATTTAAAAATACCATTAATAAAAAGACCATTAATGATCTTTAATGTTTAAATAATAATAACAGTCCTCTGACAACAGATGGAAATCCAACTTACATTTCATCATGAAGCAATTCTCCAAGTTTCATTTCTAGAAACAAAAAGTAATAATAGAATAAAATAGTATAAAACTGGTCAAATCAGTTGTCAAATTTATTTTAACTATCTACCTTTAGAAATTTACTTTCTCCTCTCATCATCCTCGTTCTTTACCAAAACCACAAAATATAAAATCATTATATTATTACATTTTGTCTAATCCTTATTTAATATCAGGTTTTTACCTTTCTTCAACAGCACAAGTTCTAAATAATGTTTTTTTTCTCTCTCTTCTCCTGACCCTCAAATTGTCAATTTGTTTTTATAGAATTCATTTATGTTGGGATCCACATACTGTATCATATGAAATAATTTTATGTTGTTTGTCTGCTACAACACTTAGTGTAAAGAACTGACCAAAAAAGATTTGTGAAACCACTTGCTATGCACAATGCTAATAGAACTGCAGTACTGTTGATATTTGTGTGTAATTTCCATTGTGGAATACATAAGGTGTTAGAGACTCTATACCCCCAAGAAAAGTTATGAACCCACAACCAATTTCATATGTAAATAGTTTTGGAAAATGTTTACAGTTTAAAATGCCAAAAGATTAATCCTCCTGCTTTGTTTTTTTTTTTAATAAATTGCTAAAACAGTTTTGTTTTAACTTTAGAAAAAGAAAATACAACAACTTAAAGAGTTAAACAAACTGTTATGGGCTATTACAGGTTCCTTGAACAATTATACAGCTTTTAAAGGCTCACTGGGAGTCCTGCACATGTATGGTTTTACTCACAGAAAATGTAACACTAGTCAAACATTTTATCTGGTTTTGTGGTTATTTTTATATAATTATGTTCTTTAACCCTCACATATAATTAAGCAGACATAAAACTTTTAGTTTTACATAAACTAAAGATACATTTCTAGGTTCCATGTAACTTAGATACCTTATGTTAATCTGAAAATTATAGCTTTCTTCGTGACAACATCAAGTTCTTAAGAACTGTCTATAAAAGTCAAAAACATCTTTTGCTAAATTTAGAATGTGAAACTGATGTTTAGCATCAAACAGATAAATCATTCAAGTTATTTAAACAACATGCATAAAATAGAGTAATGATATTTTAACCTGGAAAAAGAAACTTTATAAGACCTAGCCAAAGAAAATCACATATATAATACAAAACCTACCTTCTGTTGCTTTGAAAAAGTCTTCAGTGATGTCTACCCAACTGTATGAAACCTCTGGAGAGTCTTTATTTTCAGTTTCCATGTTTCTAATAAAAACACTTATATTGATAAGTTTTACATTCACAAAAAATAAGATTGTTAAAATATTTGTAATATTTTTAAAATGGTACTTGACATTCCAAAACTAAAAGTATCATGAAGATTTCAATATCCTTTCCAATAAACATTTCTTAAAATATATTCAAATTAAACTTCACATTTTCAAGGGAACTCTTATTTAAAATGTAAACAATAAAATTCAAACATTAATCAAGTTAATGTTTAAAAGGGAAGGTTTAATGCTGAATGTGACACTCAAATCACAGTGATACAGATTTTAGCCTATAAAGATTTTAAAGCAATTAAACACAGTATGGGAAAGTCTTTCATACATGTGTTCAAATTGTTGAACTGAGCTTGGCCAAAAAAAGGAAAAACAAACAGGCTTCATTTATGTCACACCCCTTTGTGCAATCATAGTAATACTTTCCAAAAGCAATACCATTAAAAATAATGAAATCATCTTGTAGATGGTTATTTTCTCAGAGATCACGTCTAACGTTTGTTGATTCAAGTTGTTTCACTCCATTAACAGTATACAGTGTAGCTTGACTACACACAGATCCGTGTAGTGTCTTATGACTCTCTCAATAAGTTTTTTTTAACTACTTTTCCCAAAACCAGCATTAAGTTCTACACAGTTTGCTAACATGAACTAAGAACAGATGAGGAGTTTAATCAACTGACCTTTCTGTCTTCAAAACATTTGCTATTTTCACTAATGACTAATTCTTTTTTAAACTCTAACCACAACAAAATCCATCCTTTATCTTGCAAAATCAAGGTTAGAGCTCTTTAAAAAGAATAAAACTACTATTCTCATATCACAAAAAAGGTGGCACTCAAACCCACATTTTTTCTTACAGTACATTTTTGTGAAAACAATTTGAGTAAATGTTTAGATCCAAGCATACATTGATGTCAGAGAGAGAGAGAAAAAAAAAGCTTGCAACTTGAGAAATTTTGTTGATTTAAAGTTGGCTTCAATTTCACAACTGTTAAAACTATCACGAATCTTTAACTGCTTCTCATCCTCAACTTGACCAAATATTGGAAAGCTTTATCAGTAATAACAACATGTTATACTTAGTTAAAACATGTTCTACTGGCTTCTACAATGTTTGGTGAATACTAAAGTTTTCTGTGAACAAATTCTTTTATGCAGTAGACAGTCACATGTTAGTAAAGACCACCTATTCCTCTGTGTAAATAAGGCACATAAACTTACAGATTAAAAAGTGTTTTATTCTTTAGAATAACATCCTTAACATTACATTAAAATACCTTTGTCCTATCCTGCTCTTATCATTCAAATATTTATCAAGCCTTTTTTTAAATTAACTGCATCTACCACATATGAAGGAAACCCATTCAAAAGGTCATCACTCTGTGAGAAAAAATAAGGAAGTCTTAACTTTAGATGACTCCTACACTGCAAAAATTTATATTTGTGTCCTCTAATTTTACCTACCTTTCCATACACCATTTAGCCATGTGCACCTCAAAGACTACATCACTGCTAGCACCCTTTCCATATCACTTGTTCTATTCTCAACCCCTACCTCTGGATAGCCTAATCTAATAATTTTCCTCTTATTTATTCCACAGAATATCATATCCGTGAGCCATACTAATAAATCTTCTATAAGAATAACCTCCTTACGTTTTTTCACTTCTATCCCTATCTGTCCCTTTTGTTATCCTTCCCTCTTCAAGTTTCTCATCTGCACAAGCTAAAGACTGAAATCTGTTACTTAAAAGAACCTACACATAAAAAATCAAATTCACTACTAGTTGCTCAATAAGTACTGTTTTTAACTTCCTGAAAGTCATTATTAGCTCGTGTCCCATATTCAATCCATCAACTTGGTCATAAATTATTCCATTAAACAAAAACAGTATTATTCAGCTAAAATGATGTTAACATAGAAAACACATACTGGGATTGCCTAATTATATCTCAAAAATGAAAACACCAATTCTGAACAAACATACATAAAAAATTGTTTGCCATCTACATATTTAAATGTTCTGCTTGTGCAAAAGAAAACATGGACTCTACATTACTTGACTACTCATGTTGAAGATCATGTTCTTGAGAAACTTAAGAACCTATCGAGCATTACGTAATACATTTTAATCAGGTGTAATACTGCTACCACTAATGATATCTTTGCGATAATTAGTAAAGCTGAGGATGAAAAGCAACTGAGGATTCATTCCAAAACTAAAACTGACACTAAACTGGCAAAATTAAGCAATAATTCTCCTCAAGTTGTTTTTCTTATGGAAAAAAAAAAGTACTTAAAATAGAATCTTAGAGGCTTTAAAAATGAAACATAATTTTTAGCTTCTTTAAAGGCTTTAACAAAACTCAATAATGCTGACCTCTAACAAGCAGCTTGGTAAATACTCTAAGAACATTTATCATGCCGACACTAAAATCATATGCAAATCAGATTCGATAAATAAAGGTAAAACATTGCATTTTGTGTCCCTTAATGAAATGTGAATATAATACAATAGAAACAGTTTAGGAGTTATCACAATAAACTAATTAATAATTCCAGTTAAAAGATACTAGATGGGAGTTCAATAAAAATATGTCAAAAATGCATAGTGGTGTACATAAGAAAACAACACTAACATTTTACAGCGCGATTTTATAAACGATCAAACTAATTAACCACCAGGTAGCCTATCATCCAATATTTAAGCAATTTTGAAGGAGATACTAATTCTGTGTTGGAAATTATTGATAATTTATTCATTTGTAAAAAGAAAAGCAGCATCAAAGTTAATTAACATGATATTATGTACAAGAAGGGGCTGTTTGGTCCTTCAAGGCTGTCTTTGTACTATATGCTCAACCCTTACAAAAATAAAATAAAATTTAAAGAGTACAAATTAAGATCCATCTTTTAATTGTTCAGGACCTCATGTTTCCTCCTCTTAAACTTTTTAAACTGTGAAATAGCTTCCTTTTAGGTAAATTTACAAATAATCGGTTGCTAAGCCAATGACACTATTAGTAGAGATTGATATTAACTTCAATATGGTTAGAGCTGGTTCAGAAATAAGTAGGGTGGAGTTTATAGTGTGCAATATGTGGCAAGACTGAGTTATGTTTTATAACTGTGGACTTGGTTGCTGTTTTGAGGATACAGTACTCTACACTAACAGTTGCAGAGCTTGCTTACTTAAGGATAAGTTAGAGAAAGCTTTGGAGAAGATTGCTGTCAGAGGGAGAAAACAAATAAGGAACAGTAATCACTGGAAAAAAAAAGACAAGAAATGAATAAAGTTAGGGTAAAAGTTGCTTTGAGAGAGAGTGAGAATAGGAGTAGTGGGTTAACATGGATGCATAGCAGTAAAATGTTATGGCTAAAGAGGTAGGTTCAGTTCGCACTAAACTACTAGTCTCCATATTTCAACATTTAGTTACTTATAGTAACGGAGATGATAAAATGGGGGATTCTATTATTAGTTAAACTGATAAAGGTGGTTGCAGTGGAGAGCGCAGAAAGAATAGGCCTAGAATTTACTTTCCCAGTGTTAAGACATGAAAGCATGTTGACCGTTCACTTGATGGTACCAAAGATCATTCTCTGTTTGTTGTACATGAGGAATGAATGATGTTGGAAGGAGAATCAGAAAAGCTCCTTAAAAAATATAAAGTAATCTTTCAGAGGTTTAAAGACAGAAATAAATAAGCTTGGAAAACTGGGAATAAACAAATTGACAGGATAGCTAGAGCAATGAGGAGATTAGAAAAAGATTCAGGAAATAACAAGTTAGAAAACTGTTTTAAAGATAAATCTGTCAGTTTTAAAGACAAGCTTAGTTGATATTATTGTGATGTCACCAGAATTATCAAGAAGAAAATGGATGTGTTCAGAGCTCAAATTGAAATGGAAACTGATATAATGGGGTTTATTGAAATTTTGTTAAATCTGGAAAACACTGATAAAAGGTTATAACAGTTATCTAATAGTGATAATTTGCTTAAAGGGTGATTCTTTATATCAAGGGTGAACTGCATTCTGTTGGGAAAGAATACAAAGATGGTAGTCAAAAGGTTGACTATATGTGGGTTATACTCAGGGGTTTCAGCAGTTCAAAGTTTTTAACTGGAATGTAATAGGCAAATTTAAGCTTTTAAATATTACATCTAAAAATCTTAATTTTTTTTTCAGAACAAACTCAATTGATTTCATGCTTTGGCTTATGAATCAAAAGACTCTTTTAAACAGGTTCTGTTCATCATTGATCCTTGCAATGATCTTAAACAAATTAGAATGAATGACAACATATTTTCCAAAGGCATGTTCTAATGTACTTGACTTAGTGGGTGACCTGAAGATGGGTGTTCTTTTTAACTGACATCAAAGACAGATGAAGGAATGGTCAATAAATTATTTCAATTTGCTGATATTAAAGTATTGAGTGTTGCTGGCTATGAGGAGGATGCTGCTGCTTTAAAAAAGGATTTATTTCATTTGGTCAGTTGGTCAAATAAATGGCAGATGGCTTTTAATTACAATAAATGCAAGGTAATGCATGTGGAATATTATAATTTGAATTATGAGTCTAATTTTGATGGGAGTAACTGCAACAGTGTGATGGAAGAAAAAAATCTTGGTATTCTGGTTGATCAGTCGCTTAAGCCATCCAAACAATGTGCTGTTGCTCGTGGCAGGGCAAATAGGATTTTAGATGGCATCTAGAGAAATACTGAATACAAGTCTAAAGAGGTTATAATATCATTGTATTGGTCACTGGTTAAGTCACATTTGGAGTACTGTGTTTATCTATTGGTTGTTTACCTCAGAAAGGACACTGAATTGTTGGAAAGGGTTCAGAGCAGGTCTACTAGGATAATACCTGGGATGAAAAGGTTGTCATGCAAGGACAGGTTAAGATCTCTGAAATTTCTTTCTTTTCTTGACGACAGAAGAGTTGGAGATGATCTGACTGAGGTATTTAAGATTATAAAGAGAATTAACAGTGTTGATGCATGAACTTTTTTCACATATAAGGGTGAGAATGGTAAGACTAGGGTGATACAAGTATACATTTTGGCAGGGTAAGAGTAATCTTCTGCTAAGATAGCTTTAATTTTCTAACGGGGTGGTTGGGCCTTTGGAAAAAGTTGACTTCAGATGTGGTATATTCAGTTAATTTAAGGCAGTTTAGGGGAAGGCTTGATAAATATTTCAATGATAAGGACTGACTTTGAGTGTTTTACTTCAGAGTTTAATATAGTGGATGGGACAGTCTAGGTGGTCCAAGAGGTCCCTTATTGTCCGAGGTGCTTTTGCATTCTTGACAAATTAAGCATTAAAAAATTAAATTTTGAAATAAACATCAAAGATATGTGTGAAACTTAAAGTGTTGAAGGGATCTGGTAAAAATGTATGAAAGATCATTAGGAAAATACGTGGTGAAACATTTTGACTACCTTCCAAAATTAAATAAGCACTGTGTGTGTGTGTAGTGCATGTAGAAGAAAATGATGTTAGAAACTAAATTAGAAGAGATGCTTAAAGGTGTAACAAGCACCTTCAGAGGTTTAGGAATAGAAATAGATCTGTAACATATTAAGGAGTATAACCTTGGACTAGATGCAGGAAGGAACTACTTAGTAGGGTTCAAGGCTTGAATGAAAGATTATCAGGGGTATACTCTAAGCAACAGGTGGGCTATTTGGATTTGTGGAGTAGTTTTCAGGGTAAGGGTGAATTTTTCATTTGAATAATCCAGTCTTTATATTCTGCCACTTTATTAATACCTAAATGTATTGTACCATTAATATTGAAATCAAACCAGAAATTTTAAGTGTCAATATGAACTGTAAGTGAAATCTTGGGAAACCAAAGAGGATTTGTTGCCATATTCGGAAACTTTTCACAGTACTGTGTAGGTTAATGAAACATGTATTGAGCTTATATAAATGTTTACATTGCACACATGTGTCTGACTGCATTTTTTTGTATAAGTTTTATCACTTCAACTATGTGTTACTCCATTTTATAAATAAATATGTAGAATGAAGAAAACTTGGCCTGACTGGATGGTGTAAATTAGACTGTACAATCAGAAATTTGTTAATGAGTTTAGGTGTTAGTGAAGCAGTTGGAAAGTACATATTATAATGACTGGATTATTCAGGTTAGGTAAGTTGAGTGGTATGGATAGGTTCCACTTAAGTAGACTAAGCAGAAAGATGTTTGAGAAAGTCTAAAGGATGTCATTAATAACAGTTAAAACTAAACTTGCATAGTGGTGAGGGTAAATGGGAATAAACAAATTAACAGTATAGCTAGTATAAAGAGGAGATTTGAAAAACTTTACATATATATATATATATTTACATATAATTCAAACATGTAGTGCACATTTGCACACTGTATCAGCATAACTGTTCAACATTAAGTTGAAACAATTCATTACACCATAATGTATAGGTACATATTCAGATTTCCAATATCTTAAAACCTAATTGTTTAAATGCTAAAACTACTTGAACCTCACAGAAAATACTTGATATTTAATGTAATTTTTACAGCTTCTTATGTTTTAAAACAACTTTACTCCACAGAAAATTGTTATTCATATATCTTATTTTACATTGTACTACTGAGGAGTGTAAGACTTGTAGACAAACAAGATCTGTCTGTCTTATTATATTTTACTGTTACAAAATGCCTCATAAAAATAATTGTAAATTGTTTGAGGCTTGAGATGGTGATGGGTCAACTCTAATTTAGGCCTAGATTTTAATACTCTACAGAAAAAAGTTTGTAATTAAATCTGTATAGCACAAAAATTTGAGACTATGGTTTAATGAATGAGATATTTTTGGGAGAAACCTCATGAACAATTAATAGTAATATAGAAAAATTGGTTTCATTATGTGAAATATTCAGTTACAAAGTTTACAAGCAAGCTTCGTACTATGTTGGGTAGGAAGAAAAATGATAGAGCTATTCTCACAAACACAAATTTTGTCCTTTGGTCTTCATGTTCATGCCCAGTGTGTCTTAAAGTTAAAACTTATTGTTACAATTAACATTGATCATTTACATTGATACAGGGCGTATATTTTTGCTACAAGTACTGAAATTTTGAAAACTTCTAGTTGAAGTACTTGTACTATTGTAGAACTCCAAAAGTCCAAGTACTTTGAACTTTGAATTTGATTCAGTTTGAAGCAGTACAATCGCAGAGGCCGAGAGCGTGCTACACCGTTTAAATTATAAGTTAAAAATTACGTTTGAGATGAAAAAATAAATCGTATTTTACCATAAGTTTAGGAAATTACATGAAATCTGCGGTAAGGACTAAATTTTTACACACCCTTCATTGTCATCACCCTCACAATTCTTTTCCCATATCTTTTCTTCTATCACGGCATCTGCCATGGTTGGACAGCTAGTAAGCCTAACGTTAAGCCTAATTTAATTGGAATTAACAGAAAACAAGTAAAATAAAAAAACATTAAATATCAGTTATAAAATTACACAACTAAACAAATAATAAATGTCCAACGTGTATTTTTTTAACAAAAAATTTGATTTATAAGATTAGAATTTGGCCCACATCTCATTTTAAACTGTCCAGATATTATATTATAAATTTATTTTCTTTTCAGCAAAGATGGAATTGAAAATATAATCTGTGACGTATGGCTTAATACACCTTTTATTCGCCGCAACCTCTGGGGTTGCTGCAGTTTTGCCTATTGAAGGCTCATCAGTACAGCTTGGGTCACTTAACCAAAGAAATACATTTACGTCTTTTATAATGGTGAGGTGTATATAATATTTAAGTGGATGTCTGGATATCAACTTTCCATTATGTGTTAGTTAACTGCAGTATTTATTTTAAATTCACCCTAGAGACACCGAAAACTTAAAGTCAAACGTGAATACTCTCAGATTATAAATAATTGTACGACAAGTCTATCGGATTGACATTACAACATTAAAGAAATAATTCTTACAAAAAAAAACAACAAATAACCAACGAAGATGTATTTTCTTTGTTTTTGTACCACAATTGCACATTTACATACAAAGTTATTAACATATTCTGAACATATTAACAGAGTCAGAACTACTCCAGATACAGGCAGCATCAGTGATATGTTCCTTGAGATAGGGCCCATCAACGGTCTTGCCGGTGTATCTTGTATGTACTAGGTACAACAAAACAACCTTACATCAGTACCAAACTGTCCTTGTCCATACTCTATCTAGAACTTGTAATTATTTAACAATCTATGCCTGGACTAGACATTAGCCTTAAAAATGCGTGGTTGTTCCTTGTGAAGAAAACCCTTGTAAGACTTGTCCTCATCCATCATTCTACAATGTATGACTTGGCTTGCTTCAGTTGGTATAGAAAGTTATCCACATATTTGGAACTTATCTTACTCCGGCAAGTTCCCTTATGCGGTTATCGGTGTTCTTCAACCAACTTTTTGACTCAGCAGAGAAACGAATCTCAGAATTCTTTCAGTAAGTATATCATCATCTGGATGCAAACAGGCGTTTAATGCACACACACAATTCAGATGTAATCACTTACATGTTGACCAAATACAGGAACCACAAAGTCAGATTTTATCATTTTGGGCATGTCTGCAAAATATGACTGTCCTTTGTAAGTATTATATCCAAAATAAGAAATAATACAAGTTTATATTGCACTAAGAGCGCAACCATGAAAAAAAAGCTGAATTTTTCCAAAAGGCAAATATAGATGTGCATAATTAACAAGTACAAACGTTGTTTTTGTTGTGCGCCGCGATCATGTTTGATTTTTTTTTTACCTTAAACAGGCAAAACCAACTGAAATTTGGGTTTTCTATGAAACAAGCTAAATTCGACTCTCAACTAGTAGATAAATAGTTTTATCAGGATTTGTATATATACTTTTCTCATTATTTTACAAAACACGCATACTCGTACTCCAATTTCAAAGCAATTGTTTGTTCTTCAAAGCACTTTGAATTTTCACAAAATTCCAACCTCATAACAAAACATGTTTTTAACAATATTTGAAGAGGCCTGGCATGGTCTGATGGTTAGGTTGATCGATTCGCAATCTGCGGGTAATGGATTTGAATCCAATCACCGAACATGTTCGCCCTTTCAGCCGTGGCGACGTTATAAAGTTGGTAAAGATTAGGCCAAGAAATGGCGGTGAGTGGCGTTGGTTAGCTACCTTCCATCTAGTCTATCATTTTTAAATTATACACGACTAGAGCAGGTAGCCCTCCATTAGCTTTACGCAAAATTAAAAAATAACAAAAACAGTACTAGAAATACGCCGCTTATCATATTGTAGTATTTTGTTTTGTTTCCATTGAAGATTTTTGAATTCCTGGGCTTGCACAAAATTCCTAAAAAAAAATTAACTAGTAATCTTGAAGTTATTATAGTTTATTCAAAAAACTTTTTATAATAAATTTCGAACATTTTTTATGTCTTACTACGACTAAAACATTTGGGTTAATTTTTATCATCAAGTATGAAAAATATTAATTAGAATAAACTAATCAAAATTACAAGCATAAAAAACAGTCCCCCGGTGGGACAGCGGTAAGGTTAAGAATTTACAAAGCTAAAATTCGGAGATCGATTCACTATGGTGGACATAGCAGATAGCCCAATATGGCTTTGCTCTAAAAAATAAGCAAACACATAAAATAGCTCATTAAATCATGAATACTACAATAGCTATTTTTGGCCCTAGTTTCAAGTGTGATCATAGAAGCAGATAATCTAGTTTTCCTTTGTATTATAAAAAGGTTTCTATAAAAACGTGTTTATTCATAAAGAAAAACAAAATAATATATTCTCAATAAGATTCCAATGTATCATACATGATAAAGCTAGTTAAACTGTAAATAGTACAGTTGTTCATTTTAGTACTAATTGCAACTGTGATCTTATGTGCACAAAACTCCGTCTGCATTAAAACAAAGTTTTTGCCCAAAAATGTTTATTTGTGAATATATTTTATTTTTGGTAACAAACCAATATACATAACAAATATAAATTGTTTTATTTAAGTTCCGAAAACTTGAGGACGTCAATTCACTCAATGGTAGTGACATCTACTTTTACATGTTTGAACCTTTTCTTCATAGGAGTATCCATCTCAAGAGTGTGTTCTTGTACTTTCTGCCTTTTCAATTCATAATGATGCAGGATGGTTGCTTTATAATATTGATGCTATTAATCTGTTTCGTTTATCCGTTTTTACTTGTTTCATAATGATAAAAAGACGTTTAGCCATAGTGTTTGAGATTGGAAAAGTTTCACTACATTCTAAAGTTTCAAAGTACTAGTAATAAAGCATAAAACGAGGACATATCGCCCGTATTCATTAGCAGTAATCATATCAATGTTTATATTGTCATAAAGCTCAACTTGATTTTGAACTCTCTACTCTTTATCAAATTCACCAATTGATCAGTCTTTCAAAATATTGATTAAGCTCACTGGTTCGAAAGATTGGTCATCAAGCCGTAATCTTCGCTTTATCTTATATACTATTTCTTTGTAAAATTTTGTAGCTAACGAATAGATCCTTGCAATTTCTTTGTGGTTCATATCTGTATCATTTGTTTTCATATGTGTGTGGACTCTGCTAAGATACCTAAATATACTTTGTTCATAAGAAAATAGTCATTCTCTTTCTTTACGTTAAGAGTCATAATGTCATTAACCAATTTAACATTCATGAAATCAGTAGCAAATGTTGTGATTAATCTCTCAGTTTCTACACGCAACCTGTGTAAGAGCGGAAAGTCACTTTGAAAAGAAATGTTATGTGCATTGAAAATGCCCAATGCAAAAGTCAATTCTAGCAAAACTTTATTGTACGGATTCTGTAACTGGGAAGGAAAAAGACTATTGATATGTAAAGGATCTTCAAAGGCAAGTGATGTTATGTAGTATGGTTGCAATGCAACACATTGCTCAAGCAGTCTATGTACTGCATACACATAACGTAATTGTATCAAATTAAAGGAAGCGAGTTTTTATACATAAGTTGTGGCTATACATGCTATGAAAAAGTGGTCAGGCCATGGCCTTATCGCTTTCCTGAGCTATAGCAATTAGGTTTCCATAAAACACTGCTCCATAATAATTTTAAAAACTGCCCGAATAATGCGATCAGTGCATCACTAAGCATGGTAGTGCTTAGTATGTAGTGATGGCCGAGAAAAAAAACTGGCTGCGTCATTCAATCTATTACTCTACGATGCTTACAAATAACTGTTAAAGTTGGGTTATAGTCTTATTTGAGCTCCTAATTGCTATTATCGTGTGTTTCACAGCTTGTGAGACTTTCAATATCATTTAAAAGTGTCGCTAAAGTAGAGAACTGGGAACTAGCTAAAGAGACAAAGTAGCTAACCCTTATATTATGTACGAAGTGAAGGATTAAAAAAAAATCAATACACGTAATATTAAATTTTATTACACACATACACAGAATACACTGACTTTCAGTCATGGGAAAAAAGTTACAAAACAATTAATAAAAACATTTTGTAAGTTTATAATGAAGTAGGGATGGCAGTGCCAAATAGAATGCAAACATGAATTTAGGGATGATACAGCTATATATTTACACCGGAATATGCTATATATTTTAACCAATAAATTGGAAGATGTTATGTTTTTCAACCATTACACAGGAATATGCTATATATTTAACCAATAAGTGAGAAGGTGTTATGTTTTTCAACCATTACACAGGAATATGCAAAATATTTAACCAATAAGTGAGAAGGTGTTATGTTTTTCAACCATTACACAGGAATATGCTATATATTTAACCAATAGGTGAGAAGGTGTTATGTTTTTCAACCATTACACAGGAATATGCTATATATTTAACCAATAGGTGAGAAGGTGTTATGTTTTCAATTTTCAGAATTAAGAAAATAAGTCTATATTAAGTAATTTTTCATATTTTCAGTGACAGTCATTTTCGTTATTCGGTTGAAGACAGGCGATGGATGCTACTGACTGGTAGGCCTCACTTTCGTCAGATTATACGGGCTATGCTTGATCCTGGCCGTTTAGCCCATGTCTCGCTTAAGTTGCTGTTCGGGTTGAAAATACAGGAAAAGCTCACAAAAAAAACAACAGAATCTGTGATGGATTTTAACGAAAGGTGTTAAAGTGATAAAACAAACTGAGAAATACGTGGGTATCAACCCTCATATTCGCATCCATAACCGAACCTCCATTATGTAGAAGTTGGCGCCTGATTATATTGGACGTATATAATAAAATTCGTGTTTTTAATTCGATATTGTATGTATAATTAATTGTGTGTCCCCCCCCCCCACTAAAGTTTCCCAATCAAATCGTTAAGGGTAATTACTGGTGTGGTCATATTAAGGACAACAAGTGATCTCTAAAAATAGTAGTAATTTCTTTAATGGTTTATAGTGGCAATAGCTTTGCAGATGTGGAAGCATCAAAGTTAGTTGGTACACTGAAATCACATGGGTAA